TCATGTGTGTATTTTATATTTTTCAGCTGTTTGTCATTCTATACCAGTGATATTAAACCTGGGGTACGCGAAGACATCTTAGGGGGTACGTGAAATTTAAAAAAAAGTATTATTTTATGATAAGCACTGAATAATCAGGGCCAGATTGAATACATTATTTTGGATGTAGATTATATACTATGTATAACTTGAATTATACACCAACAACTTTGGGGGCACAAAGTTGAAGAGAAATTATATCTGGGGGTACGCGAACAAAAAGGGTTGAATACCACTGTTCTATGTAATGAATCCTAAACCTATGAGGTAAGGACATAGGTCTGTAGACTTAGTAAAATGGCAGCATGGTTGGTCTTACCGGAAATCTCTGTTTTTCAATTAAATGGCTTTGGTTTTATTTGGAAGCAATCAGCTGAGTAAAACCTGTGCAGGCTTTCTATCTTAAAACAGGCCACGACCACTTCCCTCCAAATTCGTTATTGACGATCACACTCACGTACCGGGTGAGATTTGGGATTGTCACGGCGGTGAGGAAGATGGCTGTCTTCTGGGTTGTTCTGTGTAATTTGGTAGAAGTTTACCGACGTTTCAGAGATGCTTATTACCTTCATAAATCCCTGATCATGGAAACAGTAAACACCTCTGAAACATCGGTACAAGGTGCATCAACCCATAAGACAGCCATTTGATTCTCCCATTGGTACTCCCATGTTGTTCCCATTCGATTTGTTTCAGAGCTAATAATGCTGCTCTTATAGTGAAATTAGAGTTATGGATTATTTACAGTTTGTATTATATTCATAATTTGGTTATGGATATAAATTTTTGTAAAATGACGTGTTTCGGCAAGCAATTAGTATTGAAGTTTGATTTAAATTTGATGTGATGAATTTACGTCATCTATAGGTTTCTCCATTGTAAAGACCTTCCTTTCAAATATTAATTGAGTTAAAGTTGTTTGCTGTTATTCAGTTCTTTGCCGTGCTACGACACAAGTTAATTTTAATTCCTCGTGGTTTAGACAAAGTATAAACTGTGTTGATTATCTAATCCAGAATAGCTAAAGCGTTAGACAAAGACCTGGCCGTGTGATTATATCTTGTGTGTCAATTAAGTTCGTAAGAAAACGGGCAGTGAGACTATCATTAAACCCGAGAGAAGGGAACAAGACGGATACCGTGCGTAGATCAGGGGGCGAAAACAAAAAACACGTCTGTGTAAATTAATAAGCGGCTTAAGTACCTGAGGCCGCAGTAAGGTAAATTTAGAAAATTAGATGCTTATTAGGAGTGCTCGAACGCGTTGCATTAATGCCACCCGGGGGGTGGGGGGTCCTGCGGTTTAGGAAAACGAAAATAACAAACTTGATACGTCTATTATAATAGACGTTATTTTCTGCAGGTTTTATAACGGTTTATAGGTTTGGTTGAGCTTCTCAGTAGTATCATGGCGTGCATATGTGAGACCTTGGACACGCTCCGAGATCCATTCTTGTGTTGCAATTCTCAGTCTTAGCCATCTACTCGTACGAAAGTTTACCCTCTATTCCATAATTTGCCTACTGAAATGATGAAGTAGATGTTACCATGTGTTCAGTACAAAATGAACAGGCCTACTCATTCTGCGGTCCTTAACACGTATGAGTGATGAAGAGACATGATTAAATGAAAATGGATGGGTGATGAATGTAGGTACGTAGGTAGGTAGAGGACAGGAGGGAAAAATATATAAAAATGCGATTATCCTACAAAATAAATAAATATATGGAAAGGAACTTATGTATAAGGTTGGGCTCCATCCAACGTAACTGTTGTAATTATTATTGTGATGGTGATAAGTTATCTTAAAATATTCAATGAAATATTGGAAAATACCCTTTGAAAATTTAAAAAAAGTTTCCTTTTGTATCTTTATTCCTTGCCGTTATTATTTATTTTCATTATCTACTTTTGTACATTTATCTCCTTTAGAAATACTAATAAAAGCCGCCTAATGGTAACAGCAATTGTAATAGAGAACTTATATGCCATCTTGTGCCATTACCGAGAATTTTGTGTCATGCATAAAGCACACACACAGTTATAAATAGCATCGTGTTGTGTGGACAACTAGCCTTCTCATCTCTGATATCAGTGAGTATCATGACAAGGAAGTATCGAATGAGACATCGATACACGGGAAGTTTTTACCACAGGAAAAATGTCCGACGTCTGACATTGATATTTTCAACATCTGCTCTAAAGGTGTTCTTAAAGTTCTTCCTCATAAGAAGTGAAGGAAAATCGACTCGTCTGTGTTGTCATGTTGATGTCGTCAAAGCCTACAAATACTGCTGTGTATGGGTTGCGTTTTAAATGGTACATCGCGTTTGAAAGATACGGATTCTGCAGAATTCCTGCAGCTGAACTTCCATCCCGAAGACTGTCATATGAGTTTGGAGTGAAAAAGCTTAGCGTTATTGCGTTTATGTATCGGTCGGCTCCAAGGCCACATTTCTTCCATCAGCCCACAGGCGAGAACTGGTTTTGATGCGACGGGAAAATATTGGAGCAAGCAGAGAGGAACAGAAATTTAGTCTTCACGCTATTGCACTTCATTTGTTTAGGTGAAAACTCTGATTCAAAAAATGTGTACGACATGTAACCTGTGTTACTCAGCTTGCGTGATCGATATGATATTGCGATGAATCGATGACAGGACACTTTATTGCAAATGGAGAAGATTATGTGTTGGTAGTCACTGATCATGTTAAATAAATTTACAAAATTGTTTGTGTGTGAACATATACAATTAAGAAAGATTAGTTTAATTCAAGTACCTGAAGAAGGTAGTAGAACCAACTGCCGTAACATCGTGATTTTAAATAAGCACACGTGTGAGATGAATAATAAAAATACACAGTGTACCAATACATTCAGAAACGTTTGAATAAAGACTAGCCTAATTCAGTTCTACTATTTTTTGTGCTAAAACTTAAATTTTACTTATTTTTAAGTCCAGATCTGACAGATATGTTAGAATTAGTGTAAAACTTAGTCTTCAGCCATGTTAGCAAAACGTCGTTGATTAGTGTTATTAGCTTTTGATTAGTTTGACAATGCAAAAATAATTTTTGCTTAACGAGCTATCGACATTTTGAATATGAATAATTGAAAGATAAATTAAATAAGCCATAAGTTAATATTAACGAAAGCATGCGTTTGGTGAAACGAGGAGTTAACGTAGAGCCACATGGCATTCCGTGGTTTTGTTTATAGAAAAGCTGTTTTGATCATAATTATTATATGCTCAAGTAAACTGATTGATGGCATTTACGTACGTATATAATAGCCGTTAGTTCTTTGGATGCTTCAAGGCCACGGAAGGACTCCCCCATCCCTTACAGCACGGCCTTAAGTCACCTGTACATCGATAGTAGCTCTGCTACACTGCGGGTTCTGAGTTGTCTTCACCCGCTTGGGTCGCTCTGTTCGTGTCGCAACGTTGCATGATTTTGCTGTGAGCTTGAAGCATGCAATCTGGTGACGGCTACAAAATTCCTATGGATGTGAAGACTGTAACCTCGCTGTGGGCCATTTTTTCCGCCATTACGTTCCGATGGTCATCGCATCAAATAGTTTTACCACTTCAGACAGAGGGAATATGAAAAGTTTCCATGAAGTTATGATGTACAGATGGTAATCAAGGTCGATATATTACAAGGGGATTTTTATGATTTGTGGTCAGTGATCGGTAGATAATAATATGTCGCTGGTTGCCAATCACTTCACTAGGAACAGAAATTTAGTCTTCACGCTATTGCACTTCATTTGTTTAGGTGAAAACTCTGATTCAAAAAATGTGTACGACATGTAACCTGTGTTACTCAGCTTGCGTGATCGATATGATATTGCGATGAATCGATGACAGGACACTTTATTGCAAATGGAGAAGATTATGTGTTGGTAGTCACTGATCATGTTAAATAAATTTACAAAATTGTTTGTGTGTGAACATATACAATTAAGAAAGATTAGTTTAATTCAAGTACCTGAAGAAGGTAGTAGAACCAACTGCCGTAACATCGTGATTTTAAATAAGCACACGTGTGAGATGAATAATAAAAATACACAGTGTACCAATACATTCAGAAACGTTTGAATAAAGACTAGCCTAATTCAGTTCTACTATTTTTTGTGCTAAAACTTAAATTTTACTTATTTTTAAGTCCAGATCTGACAGATATGTTAGAATTAGTGTAAAACTTAGTCTTCAGCCATGTTAGCAAAACGTCGTTGATTAGTGTTATTAGCTTTTGATTAGTTTGACAATGCAAAAATAATTTTTGCTTAACGAGCTATCGACATTTTGAATATGAATAATTGAAAGATAAATTAAATAAGCCATAAGTTAATATTAACGAAAGCATGCGTTTGGTGAAACGAGGAGTTAACGTAGAGCCACATGGCATTCCGTGGTTTTGTTTATAGAAAAGCTGTTTTGATCATAATTATTATATGCTCAAGTAAACTGATTGATGGCATTTACGTACGTATATAATAGCCGTTAGTTCTTTGGATGCTTCAAGGCCACGGAAGGACTCCCCCATCCCTTACAGCACGGCCTTAAGTCACCTGTACATCGATAGTAGCTCTGCTACACTGCGGGTTCTGAGTTGTCTTCACCCGCTTGGGTCGCTCTGTTCGTGTCGCAACGTTGCATGATTTTGCTGTGAGCTTGAAGCATGCAATCTGGTGACGGCTACAAAATTCCTATGGATGTGAAGACTGTAACCTCGCTGTGGGCCATTTTTTCCGCCATTACGTTCCGATGGTCATCGCATCAAATAGTTTTACCACTTCAGACAGAGGGAATATGAAAAGTTTCCATGAAGTTATGATGTACAGATGGTAATCAAGGTCGATATATTACAAGGGGATTTTTATGATTTGTGGTCAGTGATCGGTAGATAATAATATGTCGCTGGTTGCCAATCACTTCACTTGTGATTTTGCCTTCAGGTCAGCTGTCGTATGCTGTGATAGATCAACCCAGAAGACGACCATATTCGACTGTCCTTGGGTCTCAACCAAACTCCTACAGTAAAGCCACATGCAGCCTTACGGTAACGTGATTATAATTTCTGATTCATTAACGACACAGATTACACAGCACATAGAGAAGATTGTGTCTTTGTTATTGCTGCTTAAGATAGAGCCGAACAGTTTGCCTTCATCTCAATATGGCGTGGGGCTATGTGTTAAATGCGGGCGATTTCCCCATCTCCTGTCCACCCTACAGCAAACTGCCAGCCAGACACTTCTTTCCAAATACGATGGCACCGCTATATAATTTGTGAGGAGTGGAAGAGGGTTCTGGAAGGCTTTGTGTTCCCCTTACTCTTTAACTCGTGAGTCTTGACTGTCGGAATTCGAGAAAACACGTGACGTACAATCAAAATCGATTGAGGAAGATTATCCTCATTATTTACTTATGTTGTGTATTCTTTTCTTTTCTTTACACTCCAACAATCTTCTCTGTATCCTTTTTCTCGTGTATTATTTTGATATGTTTGTTGCGAGGTCTGTCTTGTTATTCCAATGATACAAAGCATCAAACGTCAGGCTTCAAAATAGTAATCAGAAATGAACGCAGAATTTTGGTTTGGAAATGTGAAGAATAGAAATCGCTTGGGAAACCTAGGAGTGGATGGGACAATAATAGAAAATTTTTAAAATAGATCTGTTGGTATGGTCTGGATTCTTTTGGCCATGATGAAGTCCAGCGGTGAGCTTTTGTAAACAAGGTAATAAATCTCTTATATCCACAAAAGTTCGAGAATTTCTTGACTAGCCGAGTAATTGTTAGCTTAATTCGGAGGACTGTGCTCTGTGGAGTTAAGTTTTTGATTTATTGTAATTTAATAACTCAACCTTGCTTTTAACAGTAAGCCTTAAATCCATGTTATTTCCTTAAGGTAAGAGACCACGCCTCAAATCAATACAAAACAGCGGATCATATTATAATTTAATAATGCTGGGCCTATAATTATATATTTTAATAGTTTCATTTCATATAAGATACAAGAAGACACCAAGCATTTTCCAAATCTGGTTACCTCTTACAGTCGTTTTGTAATTTTGACTTATTTATGTTGTTTGAAGTGTCAGATACATTTTCGAAGGATTTATTAGTTCCCTTGTATTATGATTTTACCCTACATTTTTTGTATAGAAACATGAACGTATATTTAATTTTTCTATCTTTACTCCAAAACCAACGCGTATGGTTCGTAGTAGTGAAAAATTTGTTAGTAATGTTTCCATTTTTAATTTTGTACTGTTTATGACAAATGTGAAAATAAGTAAAACTGATGGGGTATCTAATCCAACAAATTTCTAGAAGGAACAATTGAGCTTGAATGTCTTAAACGGAATAATGGCAAATATTACCAAACTGGTACCTCCAAGTGTGAACTTTGGTGAGGTAATGGGTTGTTGTTATCTCTAGTATGAAAAGTGTCGCGTTATTTAACAAACAGGTAAACACGATAAGCCATAAATTTGGACGAGTCCAGTAACGTAGGTGAGGAATTAAAGGGGTGTGCGGGTTAGTTCATCTGCAATGCAACTACTTAACTAGCCCACTGCACCTAGAATTTCACCTCCCACTACTGTTCCCATCTCTTCCCCTCGCGCGCTTATCAGCGGTCACGTATAAAAAATTGAACTGTATGTAACAATGGGCTTAAAGTCTTTTATTCTACTTAGATATACGCACTGGTTTCTTTATCGAGGCTCTAGAAAAGGACAGAAAATTGCTCTGCGGTGAAAAATACTAAAATAACAGTTTAAGCGGTATAACTTTCTAAGTAATTTTTGTGTGATGTAATCATTGGCCTCTAAATCATAAATATTTATTTTTTAGGAACTGTCGTACCACCTGCTCTGTTATTTCTGCGTGGATTTGCCTTGAAATAATAACGACAAAAAGTCCATATATTTTTTGTAATACCTGAAATATTTCTAGTAAAACCCCCCCCCCCCAACGGGTTTGAGAGCCATGGACTGGGAACCACTTTTGAACAACGAGCTCGGCATGAAACAGCAAGATTGTAAGGAATTAGAAAAAAATGAATGCCACTCATTCAGAGCAAATGATCACAGTTTTATAATCTCCATAAATCATAAGATCATAGCATTATAATGAATGATGTGCAACGTGCGACTGTTGACGGTCTGGGACGCAGACATCATCTTGCACTTAGCGCCCTCTTTGGCCGGAAATTATTATTCCATTAGTTTTTCATTGTGCCCTCCTCCGATTCCTTGAACTTTTTTTATGTCTTTGCGGGCTAATATGAAGGCATCTATTAAGATTCAGGTCCTAACCCTGACTTCACTTACAACACTTATTTCTTGCTTCTCAAGCCACTTCGCTCAACACTTCGCTTCTCTTCAAAGTGGCGAAAAAAAAGAAGATATTTTAATACTTTGTATATGGTTATAAGATTTTATAAACACGACGCGAAACGAGTCGCTTTGAAATTCTCGGTTTTACGGCTAATACATGCTCCAGGGCAGTGCTCCTAAAATATACCCCCCCCCAAAAAAAAAAAAAAAAAAAAAATTAAACATGTGGTGTGGTCATAGTTGATCTCAGGCAGTGGGTTGAAGGAAATTTTTTGCTGTGTACGTGCCTATAATTTAATTATTTTAAATCATGAGACGTAGATTATTAATTTACTTGAGAGTGAGATTTATTTGGAAATTTATTTTGTCCTGAGACAATACAGAGCGTTTGTAGCCGAAATCCTGGATAAACTAATTATTATTGCATATGATGAAGTTTAACTTTAACATTTTAACAGAGCTCTTTTGATATCAAAGAAATAACTTTTTTATTTTATCTTTTCTTAGCTTAAAAGAAGCAACATTAAAATGGTCTCTTCTTCTCCTTAACACTTAAAAGTGGAACCAATCAGCCAAAAATGCTAACTAAGGACGGAGTCCTGCGCAAGTGCCAGACATCGTCCCTTGCGTTGCTGGATTTGAACTGGAAGCTGAAGTTAAAAATTTTTACTCTGTTTTAGTTAATAATCAATTTTTATGCGTTCTTTGCAAAAACTTCCTTAGGGATAACGCGTTATGGGCTGGCCGTGTCCATCCGTCCGTCTGTACAGTCCAACTCGAGAACGACTGGACGGATTTTGATGAAATTTGATGTGGAGGTTGTTCTATTCTGCACAACTTTAAAATCGTGATTTTTAATTTTGTACGAGCGGTGATGGTAAAGTGATGGATGAGGAAATTCATGGGGTAGACACTGATGTGCTGCTATCTGGTGGACTAAGTTGGAACGTTTGAACAAGGCAAGGAACGCACCAGGATATTATGCGAATTGCGATACGAAATACCATTTCAGAGCTTGTTACACTGAGAATCACACGAAACCCATAAATACACAAACTTTGGTACGCGACGGAGGCAGTATGACCTCTGAAACTTTGGTTAACATCGACCAGGCTACACAGCGCAACAACCCAGAAGACGGAAATCTTCACAAAATGAAGAGTTAATAATTGTTAAAGATGGTAGGAAGTATTGTTACCATTTGCCCTTAAAGGGTTAATAATATATTGAAGTGTTTGGGGACAGGGTACTGAGAAGTTTTGATCCTGAGAGTGATGAAGTGGCATTAGGCTGGAAGAATCCATAATTTGTATTCTTTATATATTTTATTATACTAATTTTCTGTATCAAGGACGATGTGATGGGCGTGGATCGATTGGGAGAGACGTGAAAAGCCTCAAATCTTAAAAAAGCGATCATTTGTAAGACCTAAGAGTAGATGGATGGTATAAAAATGTATCTTATATAAATAGAATGGGGGTAGCGGGAATAGACTGATTCATAGGGCTGTTGATAGAGGTCGGTAACTGCGCAATCTTCTGAACACGGTAATGAATCTTGCAATTACTAAAAATGCGTGGAACTTCTCGACTAGTTGAGCGACTATTAGCTTTATATGACGGAGTCTGTTTCGTGGTGTTATTATAAATATCGTCTGATAAAATATTATTATAGGAGACTTGTGTCGTTCAGTTCCTGCCACCAGTAACTGTTTTCACTCGCTATGACTTGCAGCAAAATTTGGAGCTGTTAAACCACGCTGAAATCCTTAATCAAGTGGCTACACGATTGTTGCTAGCTCATGGTGGTCTCCATAGCAATGCCCGCGTCATAATTCGGTGGGCCAGGACCGATTACACGGTTCATGTCTTGCAATAGACTCTTCAGTGTAGCGGTTAAGATGGAATTCTATAGCCTGCCATTTATTCACATCATCAGAGAAAGAACCCCTATGTGTGGACAATTGAATACCTGGTCCTATCCAATCTCTCTGCAATAGATGAAGTAATTAGAGGCAGAATGGACAGAATAAGGGGCTATTTCACATCCCAACGTTGTTAAGAGGGTACTCTTTGTTTGGAAAACATGTTGCTAGTTACCTCGTCAGTGTGTTGGAAAGAAATGCTGCTTATATCTGGCAATAAGAGGGGGCACGAGTCTGTAAATAAATTTCAGAGTTATTGGAAATGTGGAAAATGATCTTCTCTGGTACAGGAAATTTCTCACTGAAATGGAAAACGTCCAGAATTTTACAACCTCTACACAGTTTTTTAACAAGACGGATAATTCAAAGCCGTCAACTCCGAAACATTAAGTTTCTTTAACTAAATTATTAAAATATGAAATACTTTCTTAAAATTTAATTCTCTACATGTATAACAACATTTAATAAATTGTTATTAAACAAGTCTGAAATATTATGCTTATTTAGCCAAACAGTGAATTTGATGTTCATTTATCTCAATTATGCGATTTCTTCTAAAAGATTTGCTATTTTAACGTGCTTCCGTTTCCGTCATTTCTTTGTAATTTGCATTTTTAAGGAACCAATTAACGATGGAGACCGAGGGCTTCATGTCTAGTCCTACACCCTGAAGTAGTCTAATAAACCTCTCGTCTCAAATTCTTTACTTGTCGTCCACAGCAGAGATTCTGCAATGGTTTGTTCATCCATATTAGATTCCCATGTATGAAACCCCTACAGTTTA